TGAATATAAATATTTAATATAAAATGGAGTGTGTAGTTCTGTATGGATGGAAACAAAAAGGTGAAATGAGACAACAAATGTTTCTTATTTAATAATATTTTGAGAAGTGTTACATATGTTAGTGTTTTGGATAGCTGTGCTGAAAAGTAATTGTGTGACAGCACTGGCCTTTGCTTTGCACTTCAGGGTAAAAATGGCTGGCTGTGTCGGAGCTGCTTTCTAATTATTTGGTTTTTTTGCAATGGTGATGCTTAATTCTTAAGCACAATAATGCATCTTTTCTGTGTGGGGAATGTTGTCTTATTTGAAGTCTACTCTTTGGTGTTTATCCATTTGATTCTGGCAGTGTTACAAGATTCTGTGTGCACATTTATAACATTACAAGTCAGGTTTTGAAAGCACTGACAAAATGATCTTACGTAGCCTGGTTCTAGCCATCAGCTCTGACCTATAATCAGGCTCATTAGTTTAATTACAGAATGTAGCAGTTCACAGATGTGGAGGATATTGTATCCTATCTGTGTATGTACATCATACCTGAATTGAATGGGGGAAATGAAAACATTCAGTTATCTCTGCACGTAAGATATGGTAGCAGAGGAACTGGTTTTATTTAAATCTAGATTTCATTAAAAAATATTTTACTGTGGCCTTTAAATTATCCTGAAACACTTCTGTAATGTCCTAAGGACACTCGCTCTAATTCACCGTCTTCCACACAGAGTGTTATCTTCTACCTGCTCACTCTTGCTAGAAGATTTATGCAAAAGACTTTAGATGATCAGTGAAAGATTAGCAGATTATTGCATGTAAAAAGCCTTTGATAGTTGACAGGTATCTGCTGCTGAATCGGGGACACAGACTAGCTGGTTTTGAGTATGTTCATGTTAACAGGGATTCCACTTGGAGGAGGTTTCTGTGCAGTGCTGTGTTATCCTGTGTTGGGTGATAGTTTGCTATAAATACAGAGCTTTCTTATGATGATAATAAGCAGGTTAATGTTCCCTCTACTCCTACAAGTAAATTTCCAGCTTTCCTACTGGATTTCCATCAAATTATATTAAATATTAGGTTTTAAGGTCAAGTGTAATTTTAAAGCCTTGAGGCTTCACATTAGGTAAGAGAGGTGAAGTGGGGGTTTTGTACATAATAGTATTTAGTACCTTTTAAAGGATCTTAGCAGCCTGATGAGCAGATTCTGTAGATTCCTCTGGGCAGTATTTTATGTCTTACTACACATTCTAAATGGTTAGTAAGCCACACTAGGGAATTGGGAAGCATTGATGAATGTTCATGTCTTTTAACATGGAAAGTATTTGTCTGCGATGACTTCAGGTTGTGTAACCCATCATAAATCTGCAGTGCTAAGATTTGGCAATTAGAATATTCAGAAGAACTTACCAGTTTATCAGAAGCAAGAGGGCTTGGGGTGCAGCTATTTTCATGTCAGGATAGACATTTTTCCTTCATTGATGAGTGTCAGTAGAATCAGAGAATCACAGACTGGGTTGGAAGGGACCTTAAAGCTCACCCAGCTCCAACCCCTGCCACAGGCAGGGACCCCTTCCACTAGAGCAGCTTGCTCCAAGCCCCTGTGTCCAACCTGGCCTTGAACACTGCCAGGGATGGGGCAGCCACAGCTTCTCTGGGCACCCTGTGCCAGCGCCTCAGCACCCTCACAGGGAAGAGCTTCTGCCTAAGAGCTCATCTCAGTCTCCCCTCTGGCAGGTTCAAGCCATTCCCCTTGGCCTGTCCCTACAGGCCCTTGTCCAAAGCCCCTCTCCAGCTTTCCTGCAGCCCCTTTAGGCACTGGAGCTGCTCTAAGGTCTCCCCTTAAGGAGCCTTCTCTTCCCCAGGCTGACCCAGCCCAGCTCTCTCAGCCTGTCAAGACATCTCAGAGTTCCTGGTTTGTCCCTAGGATTTCCTCCGATGGATTGTTTTCCTGGCTGGCAAAGACAAACCAGCAGAACGGCCGCTGGGTCCTGCCTGTTCTCCTGCCCCTTGCCGCGGGAGGCCGCCACCTCTTTGCGATTGCTGCTCTTTGCACTAGGGCTGTAAGCGGTACATAAGCAGAGTATTCCTATGGGAAGCGAGGCGAGTGGTCATACAGGTAGTGAGGGCTTTACAGCTCCACAGTCATCTCGGTGATCTGGGGGCACAAGGTGAAGCACTGGGCAACGTTTGCTGTTTTGTTGTTGGACCAAAAATAGTGATGTTGCAAGTAGGGGAAAAAAACTGTTAATAGATGGAAGGACCTTTCTTTGATCTGGAATTTCCCTGAGCATGTACTTGAAGATGTTGTTTCCTGATGTGTCTGATAAAATTTGAAGCATCCCCACTTTGCACCTAAAGAAGAAATGCAATAGTAGGTGAGAGATCTTGAGTTACAAAGACAGTAACATCACCTAGGAATAAAACTTGAGAGTGCTAGGCACCTGAGATTTTTATCATATTGTAAGTACCACTCGTTTCTAATGCAGCACTAAAAATGCTGAGGTAGTGTCTCAATGAGTGCTTTCTCCCCTCTCAATATTGTGGTGGTAAAAAATAGCCTAACTCAGTGATAAATTGGGCATTTCTGGTCTAAATGGTAATGGAAGTTGAAACTAATGTCAGACACTGAGCAGGGAAACACTAGCTGTGCTGTTCAGGCTCCAAAAAATGGGTGTTTGCAAATAGAGAAGTTAAAAATCCATCTTAGCTCTTCAGTTGAAAGCTGGGCTGTCAAATAGAGCAGAGCCAAAATCCAGATTCTTTTTTTTAATGAGTAAATTTCCCTAAAGCTTAGCCCAGTAAAAGCATAGATGCTGATCAAGCTGTGCTTGCAAAGTTTGCAGCCAGACTCTAACACAGGATCACATGAGACTTGAAGCTTCAATGAGAAAGTACCTAGGACCTAAGTAGCTTTTTATTTCTCAAAAGTGGGTGAAATGCTTCTAATGAAGCACTCTTACCACTAAAAAGCTTCTGGCCAAGAAGAAAGCTGGGCTTTTTTATGGTCTTATTTTCTATGACTTCAAAGCTGTGTGAACCTCTAGATTTCCATGGTGATGCTGAACTTACATAAATGCCATTCCAATTCACCACCACCCTAAAGCAAGCCTACTACAAGAATACTTTGCATGTATGTAACGAATCTTGCTGTTCTCCATGTAAATAATAATGTATTTTTATTAGCAAACCAAAAAATCTGCATTGCAGCTCACTTTTGGGTGAGAGAAAAAAAACAAATCCCTGTTACGCAGCAGCCTCTTGTTCATGCATAGATTTATTCTGCTGGTGGCTTCACCTCTGGGTACTTGTGGTAGCTTTTCACAACTCTTGGTGACTTAAAATTCAAGCAAATTTTTTCACCCTTCCTGCATGTAACTCATTCTGGTTCAGGTGAATGCCCCTTCCTTTAGCACTGGTGAGATGGTCTAAAAACCTGACATGTTCGCTCTTGCTGCTGGGTTTGAGGAGGAAGGAGGTTATCTAAGAAAAGAAGCTTGAAGTAAGCCTCCAACATAGGCTCCTGGTGCTCTTGTAGCTTGTCTAAAGGTAATACAGCAAGTTCCTTCTTCATTTGAGTGTATTTAGTAGCTAGGAACTACCATGGTGCTTGAATCTCTGTTAACAGTGTATTTCAGTTGTATTTGGGAGTACCACTAGCTTCTGGGGGGAAAAAGTAATGTTGTATTTTAAAATCTGGTCTAATCTAATCTAGAATCCCTTAGCCTAGCTAGCATTTCTTACTCATGCAGTCAGAGGGGTGCATTCTGTTGTGTGAAATAAAACTTTATGTCACAAGGTAGTGGGTCCTTTTCCTACCCACATGTATTAAAAAATAAAAAGACCCACAACTAACAGAAATATTGCATTGCCCTTTACTGTGCTTGGGAGTCCAAATACGAAACCTATGGAACGGAGCGGTGCCCTTGCAGTTACCAGTAATGACTGATTCTTAGGGGAATGCTTAAAATATTCTTAATTATTTGCTAAAGCAGTGGAGTGTTGGAACAAGAAGGAACTATTTCACCCAATAAGGTATGTAACTTTTATCCCTTGAGGTAAGAAAAGGATGGAGAGAGAACATTCACTGCTGTGTAAGGTATGGTTTTAATAATCACCGTTACACATGTGCTGGTGCGAGCTGAAATGGGAGCATGCAGTGAAAAGCCTCCAACCCAGCTTGTTTGGAGCTGTTCTATCTCATAATTTGAGATGACTGCATTTAATTTTGCCCTTGCGCTTTTCCCTGGCTTAGCTGTGAGCACACTGGTGTGTTCATATGTATGTGCATGTACATACGTGTACATACGTGTTGACATGGAACCTGCAGGTAACTTGGGGGTAAGACTGCCAGGATCACCCCTGCAAGAAGCCCGTGGTCAGCAGTGGATGCAGCTGATGGAGATTTCCAGGAGAAATGTGCAATATCTTCATTTGTTGTTAAGCATCAAGCTAATTACGTGGTCAAGAAAGTGAATTTAATGGGGGGGATGGACACGGACGACATTCTTCGGTGCGTGGTGCGGTTCAAGCAGCAGTGGGGGCTCCCGGCGCCTCTCTCTCGATCTGGCAGCGTTAATTACTTCGTGATTAGTTCACGTGCGCTAATTGCCTCTGCAGTTTAACGACAGAAGCAGCGCGGCCCTGGGCGGTGGGGGGGGGGGCGGTCATCGCTCACCCCCTTCCCTCAGCCCCCGGCCGCGGTTCTCCCGCGCTCCCGTGTGTGGTGGGTGCGGATGGCGCTGGGCACCCGCAATGAAGGACCGGCTGGAAGTCAACAGCGGGACGGCTTATGGGGTTGTGTGACCCTGACCGGGCACCGGGTGCGTGTCTGCCCGGCCCGGCCCGGCCCGGCCCGGAGGGCGGCGGAAGCGCTGCCTGCGCCTTTAAGAGGAAACGCGCCTGTTTGTTGTTCCCCGGCGCGCCGGCCGCTCCCATTGGCTGCCGCTGCCCCAGCTGCTGCCTGCTGCCGCTCAGGGCCAGCAGGCTCGCGGGAGAGCCTATAAGGGGCGGGAGCCGGCGGGAGGGGGAGGGCGCTGCGGGGCTGCCTGGTGCGCGTCCGCCGCCGCGCTCCGTCTGCGCTGGGGACGCGCTTGAGGCGGCCGCGGCGGGTGAGTGCGGCGGGGGGCGAGCGCCGGGAGCGGGCGCGGCGGGGAGGCCGGCGGGGACGGGCGGGGGGGAGGTGGCTTTGTGGGCCGCGCTGCCGCCGGAGCTGCGCCACAGCAACGTCCGTGTCCGTCCCCCGGTCCCCCCCCTCCCGCCTCCTTTCTCCTCGCGGAGGGGCAGCGCGGGTCGGGGCCGCGCGTCCTCAGGGGAGCGTCCTCGGCGGGCTCTCTTGAGGGGAGCCCCGCCGGCTCGGGGCACAGGGCCAGGGCCTTGCGGCGCCCCCGGGGCTGGCAGCTGGCGAGCCGGGCTCTGCGAGCGGCGGCCTTTGTCTGCGGGGCCGGGCGAGGGGCTGGAGGCGGGGAGGGCAACAGGTCCGAGCCCGGGAGAGTGTCCAAGGGGCAGCGCGCAGGCGAGGCCAGAGGGGTTTGGCTCGTCCCGGAAAGGCATTAACGGGAGGGAGCTGCGGGAGTGGGACTGGGGGTGGCCGGCGTGCCAGGTAACCGTGAGAGGGGGAGCAGCAGGGATGGTCGTTCCTAATGAACCCTTTCCCTGTAGCAAGTAAACGCATAATAAAAGGCCGAAGCTCCAGGTGAGATCTGTGCGCGAGGCTCAGGCTTGTGACTCCAGGGAGAGACACAGCATCTTACCTGGGCTCTGGGGCCACCTCCCGAGCTGCTTCCAGCACGGCCCAAAGGGCTGCTACCAGCGACAAGCGCCCTGCCATGCTTCGTTTATTTTTACTAACACTGCTGCTGGAGTCCCTGGAGACCGGGCCTTTTCCAGCGTCAGGCTGAGCTACCCGGGTGACATCATGCCTGGTGTGGCAGAGGAGAGATCACAGAGTACCGGGGTCAGCCGTGGAGAGGGCATCCTCAGCCCTACGCAGTGCTTGACGTTAAAGGCAGGCACTTTCTGCATGTGGTGCGTTGGAACCGGGCACCGTCAGGGAGCAGGGGTAATTCTGCTGCAGCCTCTGGTTAAGGGTGCAGCAGCTTTCTCTTTGTGGAGCGCTGTGCTGAGGTCCAGGGCCTCAAGGTGAAATGTCAAGGGTCCTTTGTCTTGTGCTTCTCCATAGAAACTTCTGGGTTTTATGCAGAGAAGCTTGAGGTGACAGAGGCAGCCATGGAGTGAGCTATGGGTCCATAGCTTCAGATTTTAATGCTGATTTTTGAAGGCGAAAGAATTTGAAATGTTCCAGTTTAAAATGTCCTTTTAATGGTGTAGAAAAAGAAGTTTAATCCTGCCCGCTTTGCCCCCACTTTTTTCACCTGTCTTAAAATACAGGAAGAGGAAAGCCCATCTGGCTGATGTTTTTAGCTTGCAGACAGCAGTTAAGCAAGGGCCAGGACAGTACACCTGCCTTCCTGACATGGCCTTCCTCAGGGCTGCTGCATGCTCCAAACAAACGTTTTCTGCTGATGCATTTACAGTTACTTAAAGCTTCTGCTGGATAGCGCAGAGCGGCCTTTGCTGGGTTAGGTGGTTGTAAACAAGCAGATACTGAGAGAGCTTGACTTCAGTCCATGAGAGGATTCTGCCTGGAGAGGATGTATTTTGTGACTTCATTCTTGCAGAGCACTCCCACTGATCTGAAGATCTCATCGCGTTGGGATCCACGCCTCTGGTTTCTTGTAAACATTGTGTGCTGTCTAACGGCAGCGCTTGAATAGGGAATTAGAATGGTCTCCTTTTCCCACTGGATTTCCAGTTCTTGTTTCCTGCTGAAATACCATTTTAACATGAGCCTTAAGCTGTGAAGCTGAAGCTGGAAATGCTGTAGGGAGGGCAGAGACATTGCTTTCATCTGACAAAGATGTTGGCTGCTTGTTTGTTTTTTTTCCTTTTGGGTTTTGTTTTTTCAAACTTCCTTTGCAGGTGTGTCTTTCATGGAATAACTGGCAAAGCTGTGCTGGGCATTGAGCTCCCCTGTGTCCTCTGGATCCACAGATTTGAATAAGTGATTTCCTTTCTTTGCTGTTTGGTGTGGGTAGTTGAGCCAGGGTTGTATTGAAGAAGACTGCGTCACTACCTGTAAATCCACATTCCCTCAAAGGCTCCTTGACTCACGGATTGAATACCTGTTGCTGAGAGAGAATTTAATTAAGGAACTGGTCACTCTGGTGTAGGTCCTGGCTGGCAGTTTATAAAGCGGGAGCTCCTTCATCTAGTGTGGTACTACACGAGCATTGCAAGGATTGCAGAGGAGTAAAAAACCCATTATTTCTTATTCTTGCATCACAGCCTTGCCTTTGACCATGTGTGTGGAAGCCTCTTAAAGAAATACCAGTAAAGTATTTCTTTCACTGGGCTTTGGTCATTAACTGCCAGACCTTTGCTTGCTTGAGCTTAAGCTGTGAAATGCTAGAGCAGTGGGCTGCAAGAGGGATCACGAAGTGGAATCTGGAATGGAGAAAGGGAAACGTCAGTTCTTCTAGCTGCTTTGAAGCTGATCAGTAATGTTGGAGGCAGAATGATGTAGCACTGTGTATTTATTGCTTTAAACCATAAATACAAAGTTTCCTTTTCTCATCTCCTTGACAGAGGCCTGTATGGCTTGAGGACAGCGGTCCTTCCGGATGTTTCCTCTTTTTCTGTGTTTGTTACTTCAGAGGTCTTGTCTTCTAGATCTAATCACAGTAACTAAGACAGATTTCCTTTCCCTTCCAGAAGCCAGAGTGACTCCATAGAAGAGATGGACTATTCTGACTCAAGGGTTTTGTTGTTTTTTTAGTTCTTTAGGACAGATCTTTAGCTGGTAAATCAGCATGTCTGTTGGTGCTGTGATGCTGACCGAAGATCTGGATCTCTTCTTCCCAAAACAAAGTCACTTTATAGTTCGTCTTACCTGGGGAGAAGTGCTCCAGGTGGGCTGCTGCTCAGGAGTGCTGGGTCCTGGGCCTTAATCACACTCCCTGTTGTCCTTATCAGTCCCTGCTCTTCATCCTCATCAAAGTTTGTCATTCACTTCTCTCTCCAAGTCTGCTTTTTGCCGTGTCTTACTTGCCTTTTTGTTCCTTGTTTGTCAGGGCAGGTAGTTGCTGTGCTATAAGCTGATTGTTCTGTTCTGGCTTTGTGACCCTGTACTCCATAGCCATGTCTGCCAGGACTGTCTGAGGGTGTTTTCACCCGCTGATCCGGGATGTGTTGGATGTCGGGAGTACCTTTGTCTCCAGAAGCGTCACTGGACTGGCCAAGCCACTTAAGGCTGCAGGAAGTAACATAATTAATGAGACTTAGTTCGCCCACATCTTGTACCTGACAATCTCAAGTCACTTGACAATGCCAATTAAAGCTAATCACACTCCTCTGTTTTTAGTAAATAGCTATTATCCCTGCTTCACTCTTGCTTTAACGAATGATAGTGCCAGGCAGTGTGAGTCATTGGAAGTTAGGGGCATGCAACCCGTAAGAGCTGCCTTCCGGCCTCTGCGCAGGCTTACACATCCAACTAGAGATGGGTTCTTCTATACCTGTTCAGGTGTTGGTTTAGCCTGTTAAAAGGTGTAATGTTTTGCTGACTTAGAAAAATATGCAGGTTTTTTGCCTTTTTACTGCTGTCATGACTTGTACAGAACTAAAGCTGAGGATGCTTTGAATTTGCCCTTCAGAGAAATTTAGATCTACAGAGATGGAAGGCAGAGTGGTGTCAAAGCTGCACTCTCACTTCTCCTGTTTCACATTGGCAGTGACTTCATTCCGAGGCCAGAAGTGTGGCGTGGTATGACCTAGGCATTACATAGCTCAGCCACAGAACTGTGGAAGACTGAAGTTTCACTGATGAAATATTGCTAAAGGATGGCTGGAGTAGCGTGTTATTAAAAACAGATTGTCCAGCATCACAAAAAAAAAAAGATGGAGTTAATAATTAACTGGAGAGGGGGATCTTAATGAGAATCCCAGGAACTCCCAGCTCAAGCATGCGTCAGTAGGCACGGAACTGCAAGAGGCGAGTCAGCTCACATACCTTGGCAGTAACACGGTAGTGAGGATATGCAAGAGGAACTAATAACTGGCAAGGCAGCAGCTGACTTGACCATCTTAAACTAGATTCTGTTATAAAGTATCTGTCATGTGAAGATTCAAGTTATAAATTTTCACCTGACTTTGCCCCCTTGACATATGGGTTGCTAAGTGAAAGCTAGAAGGATGATGACTGAACTGCCATGGAAAGTATGTACCTTGTTAATATAGTAACTGTTGCATAAAAAGTGTTAGTGGCAGAGATGGATCAGAATCCAGCATCTTACCCTTGGCTTTACTTGGAAAAGAGACACATATCAGAACAGAAAACAAAGCCACTGTCTCTCCCATGCCAGATGTGCTCTGGGCAGTGCAAGGCTAGTTAAGAGATGCTCCTGGGAAGATCTCTCTGAGCAGATGGGTTTTGTGAGCAGATAAAAACGTGCAGCATTTGCAAGCTCGCAAATAGTAAGTTATGACAGGCAGCTATGGCAGATCCTTCTTTCAGCTATAGATGACTGAGGATATTGGAAGGATGCTCACAGTAGGTAAATGTTCTCTCTGTGTTCCCTGTCAGTACCCAGCCTTTATCAGGGAAACAGACGATCCATCCAGCAGACCAGATTAATTGAATCCTACTCATGCTTATACTTGCCAAAAAGGAAGATAATAGAGCAATATAAGGAGCACAAAAAAATGTAGTAAGAGATGATTTGGATAGCTAGACTGTTCCACAATTAAAACAAATGAGGAAGAAAAGTTGGGAAGTGTTTCCATTTTGTCAGTAACTGGTCAGTTGGATGGGAAGAGCTTTTCCATGATGTCTGTAGTTCAGGTTGGTACTACAACAGCAAGGCAGGGTGGTCTTTCACTTTGTAGAACACTTTATATGTGTCTTGCTGGCAAAGTGTGATGTCCTTGATCTGTGGCTCCTAATGTGATCATCCCATTGAACGTGTAGCTGTCTTCAGCAGGAGGATGGATATGAATTGAAAAGCTACATCTTAGTGTGCTTGAACCGTTGCTGTTAGCTCACTCAGGTGCA